TTATTTGGAAACTTTCAGCAAATTTGAGCAGATATTTATCTGTTAAGAATAACAACAGCAATAATAATAATGCCAATGTTTCTTGAGCAAATAATGTGTTTCAGGCTAAATATTTACATGTTAGTTTCTCTCTTTTTGATAATTATCCTTAAGGTAGATATTACTTATTACAATGTTTTGAAGATGGAAAAACTAATGTAGACTGAGGTCAAAAAGTGATTTTGTCAATGTTACACAGGCAGTGATGTGTGTGAATTGAATTTATGCCCTTATGACACTAAAACCATTGCTCTTTCCATTGTACTCCAGGGCTCCTAGAGTCCCAGGCACAGTGCTGGACTCCAGGAATAAAAACAAAAGATGTAAAAGATGTAGGGCTCCCTCCTTAAGATCAGGGTCCAGCAGGGATACCAACACTGACTACAGGCATAATACATATTTAACTCTCTACACATAAAACGATGACTTAACTTGACTTTGGAATTAGATTGCAGTGAGGAATGCCAAGTGCACCAGAGCCCAAAGTCATGGGCTCATGGGAAGCATCACAGTGGAAAAACTCTCCAGAACCTTTTGCATGAGGAAGTTAATTCTAAGTTTTGGAAGGCACTTGGGTAAAATATTGATCATATTTCCTTGATTCTGAAACACGACTTCTAGATTGTAGGGATCCTGCAGGATCTTAGTACCAGTGTGCATATCCGATGTGATTGTGTTTCTTTTTTTCCTTGAAGTCTTTACAGGTCAGGCACGGTGGCTCATGCCTGTAATCCCAGCACTTTGGGAGGCTGAGGCAGGCAGATCACGAGATCAGGAGTTTGAGACTAGCCTGGCCAACATGATGAAACTCCATCTCTACTAAAACTACAAAAATTAGCCAGACATGGTAGTGCGTGCCTGTAGTCCCAGCTACTCGGGAGGCTGAAGCAGGAGAATCACTTGAACCTGGGAGGCGGAGGTTGCAGTGAGCCAAGATTGCACCATTGCACTCCAGCCTGGGCAACAGAGTAAGACTCAATCTCAAAAAACAAAACAAAACAAAACAAAAAAACAGTCTTTACAGGCTGGGTGTGTGCAGTGGCTCACACCTGTAATCAATCCCAGCACTTTAGGAGGCTGAGGCAAGTGGATCACTTGAGCTCAGGAGTTCTAGACCAGCCTGGGCAAAATGGCGAAATCCCATCTCCGTCTCTATTTCAAAAAAATTAAAAATAAAAAGTCTTTAGAAAGCCAGTGGTGAGCCCTATAAAACAACGGCATTTTAAAAATCAAAGAAATTTCACAACTCTTTCTTGTTCCTGGACTACCACTAAAAGGTCAAAGTTAAAGCTCAGGTGATCTGAACGAATGGTTGCTTCCATCCTGAGTGCAAATTACATTCAAATGGTTTCTTTCACCAAAACACACCTGGTCCCCTTCTAGGGGTCTGGCTGGGATTGTGCTTTTTGCTTCTATCTTTAGATGTATAATGTCTCGCAATGGTTTTAGGCATTGGCTGGTGATTTTATATGATGGGGCACGATTTAGGAAGCTTAATCACCTATGACATGTGACGCATTGTTTTACGCTCAGAAGACATCACATCAAATTAATGAATGTCTAAAACTACAACCAGACAACCTCTGTATGCTAATGAAACAATGATAACGATGGCATCTCTCACAACACATGGGTAATTTTATGTACCACAACAGAAGTAATGTCAACAAACATGATTATAAATGCACTGTCAAAATTTGTGCTCAAATCCTTTCACTAGGTAGAGATGCAATTACGTATAAAACAAAATTGTGTTTGCAATGTGAAGTACGGATATGTGTGCGTGATTACAATGGCTACAGCATAAAAATTAACTCTAGGCTGTTCAAAAAGAGTAACAGAAATTTTAACATGTCAGCCTAGTGTTTCCCCAGAACTCTCTGATAATTCCTAGATGAGGAGGAAATGGGAGATTTGAAAATGGGCCAAATAGCCAGCCCTCAACCTAAGGCAAGTCCTGTCTAGTGGAAATATACTTGTGGCTCTTTATAGGGATGGTTACCTGGAATGACTTATAAAGGTGATCCATGGTGCAATGCTTTTGTTTGCCTGGGAATAACACAGCATGGGAGAGCACAGGATGAAAGCTAAGAGTGACATGCTGTTCCTGTTGTCATTGTATCTGTTTCATGTCACTATGAATGGTGCCAAAGCTCCACACCATAGAAGGCAGGATAGCGTTTTTTTGGTTCTTTTTAGTGACCATTGAACACGAATTGCATTCTATGTTTGGCGCACCATCAGAATAGTGGTGCCTGAATTGCCAGTCACCCAAATTTCTGAGTTCTGAGTTCTTGAGTATAACTCAGTGAGACTCAGTATTGACATGAGGGGTGATATCCACCTCTCGGTTTGTGCTGCTTTTCCTTTGTTTGTTCATTCATTCATTTTTATTTAGTTTATGGACGGGGTCTTGCTGTTGCCCAGTCTGGAGTGCAGTGGCACAATTGCAATTCACTGTAATCTCAAACTCCTGGGCTCAAGCGAACCTCCCACCTCTGTCTCCTGAATAGCTGGGACTGTAGGCTCATGATGCCACCTGGCTAATTTTTACTTTTAATTTGTTTACATACAGGGCCTCACTTTGTTGCCCAGGCTTATCTCAAACTCCTGGCTTCAAGTGATCCTCCCACCTCAGACTCCCAAAGCACTGGGATTATAGGTGTGAGCCGGTGCGCCTGGTCTGCCTGTCATTTATGACTCTCCTTGGGGTTGACCAAAGGGAGCAAGCACAACATGAACATGAATGCTGTCAGGAAGGCATGATCCCTCCTGAGCGTCAACCTAAATTGAAGGTCTGGAGCTAGGCTCCAACTCATCCCAAGCAAGGCCATCCTGAGATGCTGACTGGCTGGAGAAAAATCCAGGCTATGCTACAAGTCTTATGACAACTTCACTCAACAACGCTTATTAGCACCTTCACTAACAGAGAGGCTGATCTGAAAAACATAAACTGGTGTACAACTTGAAAAACTGTCCCCAGCCATGGAAAACATAATTGATTAAGCCTATATGAAGATTAAGTGAAGAATGCAAGTGCAGCATTGAACTTGGAGCCTGGCACACTTGCTTTGGAAGCCACAATTATAATCACAGCTCACCTCTGCTAAAACCAACCTTAAAAAGGTAACAGTATCCTTCAACTAGAAGTCATTTGGATTTCTGGGTGAGCATGAGTGGAGCACTACAGTACCCTTGAATGCTGATAAGTTGAAAGTAAAAAACATTAGTCATTCATCACTTTGACAATTTATTCTACTCAAGAACCCAGGCCCAGGAATATCCAATTCTCCTGAGATTTATCAGTTATTAATCATTTTGAGTTAGCAAATGAAAATTTACTGAGTGTCAACATTATGCTTTATATCAAGGGTGCATATATTGGAAGATCTAGCATTTTAATTTTGATCTATTTTTGTCTCCTACAAGATAGGTATCCTGACCATCTAAATGATATCGCTCTCCCAACTGCAGAGATATGGCAATAAATTTGTCATATGGGCTGCTGGTGCTCATTTCATCATTCATCCATTCATCATTCAACAAACATATACAGAGTGCCTACTCTGTACCAGGTGCTGGGCATAAATTGTCAAAAAATAAACAGTCTGTGCCCTCTAGTGTATAAACACATGACAAAGCCTGACACGTAAACAAGTCATTTAAAATATTGCATGTTGGGAAATAAAATGAGAGCAGGGAGAGAAAAATGACTAGCTGGCTGGGAAGATTTTAATAAGAATTGACATCTGAGCTGGAACTTGAAGGATGAATAGAAGTTTTCCACTGGAGAAAAGCAAGGTGGGTGACTTGGTTTGAAGTAGAGCTGTGGAAATTCAGGGTTTTGTATGAGAAATTCAGTCTGACGGGAACTGAAAGATGAGGCTGTACAGACATGAAGATTGTGAGTAACCGCCTGCCAAGATGAGGAGTTTGGAAAAGGGAAGTCATAGAGGGAGGGTGGTTTTGTTTTGTTTTAAGTTAATAAAGTAGTTTTTGGAGCAGTTTTAGGCTTACAGAAAACTGAGCAGGCAGAGATACCGATACATTACCCTTTTCCCCATGCATTACAGGGACACCCATGTATCGCCCTTTTCTCCATGCACAGGTTTTCCTGGTATTAACATCTCACGATAGCCAATCAGGCACCAGAGGTTTTCAATCAAGGGCGTAATGAAGATAATTTTGTTATTTTGGGAAGCTACCTGGTAGTCATGCAGGTATGGGGCTGGAGTGAGAATGTACTGGTGGCAGGACGACCAGTCATGAGGCTGTGACCAAAGTCCATGTGACAGCAAAGAAGAGGATGAACTAACTCAGAGGCGGTAGGGGTGACGAAGACGACGGGTTCAATTCTAGAGACATTTATCTGCTAAGTTGTTAGCAAGATTTGGCAACCAACTGTGAGAAGTGAGTAGGAAGGAGTTTAGTTTGGGCAACTGTGCCGGTCAGATTTATTATAGCTCAGCTCCAAATTCACCTTTCAGTACCTGCTCTGTGATAATAAACTGGACTCTAAGCATTTCCCTTCTACTGTGTCCATGGAGGGTACTGGAGGGACATTGCAGGAAGAAGGGCACTTCTCCTCCTGTGTTTTTCTGTTTGTTTGTTTGTTTGTTTTTGAGAGAGAGTTTCACTCTATCGCCCAGGCTGGAGTGCAGTGGCGTGATCTCGGCTCACTGCAACCTCTGCCTCCTGGGTTCAAGCGATTCTCCTGCCTCAGCCTCCCAAGTATCTGAGATGACAGGTGTGCATCACCTTGCCCTACTAACTTTTGTATTTTTAGTAGAGACAGGGTTTTGCCATGTTGCCCAGGCTGATCTCGAATTCTAGAGCTCAAAGTGATCCACCTGCCTCGGCCTCCCAAAGTGTTGGGATTATAGGCGTGAGCCACTGCCCCTGGCTCCTTCTGGTTTTGATGCTAAGTTTTGCATTTTCTTGCTCTTGCTCTGGTGGTGCAGATGTGTGCGTGTGGACATCCAAAGGTTCCCTGCCCCAGCTGCACACCCAGAATATGCAGTCCCTGGGTCACCTCGCTGTCCTGGCCTGGCATCACATTGCTGAAGCCGTCTTTATGCAGACAAGACAGACTCCGGGACTTGAGCTCCAACTCCCTTGTGAACTGCCCATCAACCTGGGCTCACCTGCATTACAGAGGGTCAGTTCCTGCTGCTGAGTGACTGCTGATCAGCTCTGGTGTGGACAGCCCAGCCAAATTCTCCATCATCCAGTGGACTGCAAGAACACTTTCTCCAGTGGACCTGAACCTCGGTCCTTACGAGGGAACCCAGTTCCAAATTTGTCCTTACTTGCGGACTTTTTCTTAGCTCTAGACTGCCCTTGAGAGTCCTCGTTATAGTTACTCCACTGTCATAGTTTAATGATTTTTTAAATATTGTTCCTTTTTTTTTTCAATTGGCCGTGTGATTTCTGTCTCCTAATTGCTCCCCCTGAGAGAGGAACTGAGTGGATGGTGGTCCTTACTGAGACAGAGAAGGAGGAACACCTTTTGGTGGTAAAGATAATGAATTCATATTTGCAATTGCTACATTTAAGGTTTGTGTGGGACCTCCAGGCGGAGAAATCAAATAAGTGATTAGGGCAAGAATGTAGAACTCAGGTTAGTGATACAGATGTCTTGAGCACATCTGTAGTAGTTGAAGTGAATTGCCCCAGAAAGGACATATAGAGTTTCAGAGCTAAGCAAGGTCAAGAACAGAATCCTTAGGATTCCCCAAGTTTAAGGACTAGGTAGAGTGAAGGAGTGAGCAAAAGAGATGAGAAGGAGCAGTCTCAGAGGTAGGAGGAGACCTAGCAGAGCTGGAAGAATAAGTTATCTCAGTCAGGCGCGGTAGCTCACACCTGTAATCCCAGCACTTTGGGAGGCCGAGGCAGGCAAATCATGAGGTCAAGAGATTGAGACCATCCTGGCCAACATGGTGAAACCCCATCTCTACTACAAATACAAAAATTAGCTGGGCATGGTGGTGTGTGCCTGTAATCCCAGCTACCTGGGAGGATGAGGAAGGAGAATTGCTTGAATCCAGGAGGCAGAGGTTGCAGTAAGCTGAAATTGCACCACTGCACTCCAGCCTGGCGACACAGCAAGACCCCTTATCAAAAAAAAAAAAAAAAAGAAAGAAAGAAAAAGAAAAGAAGTTGTCTCAGACCACTCAGTACAATTGAGTGTCTTCAGAGTCTGCTTCAGGATGTTCCCAGAAACAACATCTTCAAAAGTATCAAAAATGAGTAGGGTGTAAACAGGTCACCTCTGTGACCACTTCCTGTTTGTGAGCAGTGATGTGTTATTCAGGAATACCCGGGATATCACTTCCTCTTCATCACGAAACATGCGCAAAGGTTTGCAGCTCAGCTGCTGATGATTCTGGGCCACAAAGATCATCAGATCCCCCAGGATTTGAGGCCCTGAGATCCTCTCTGATTTTGAGAGGGGCTGAGATAAATGTGCGATGCATGATGCTACTCCAGAGCTGGAGTTTGATAAGGATACCAGAAAAATCATCCCACCTCTAAGGAGTTCTCTCGTACTTGAGGGCACGCAGGGTGGGCCTCTGGAGTCAGCTGGGAGCCCCTGAAATGATTGGAGAACAGTTTTATCCATTCAGACATTTCCTGGGGAGACGTGGTCTCAGATGGAAGCTGTTAGTGTTTAATCAGTCCTACCAAGTTCAAGGTTGCCCAGTGCCTAACCGCCATATGGCTCTTTGGATTTGCAGCAAGGGGGTCGTGGGACTTTGTGTGCTAAAATCTGAGTGAAGGTTTTGACATTTTAAGTGCTCTTGGGACACAGTGAGAGCTCACAGCCAATTTGCCTGACAGCCTAGCCTCACAGGCTAGTCACCTGATGACCTCTGGAGCCAGCGCTGTTCCATATTCTGCATGATCTTTCCAAGGAGACATCATCCTTTGTGCTTTTATCAGATGGGAACAATTTAAAAGGTTTTCGTTGTATGTCCACCTAGGGTTTTTCTGTAGGAAACGTGGTTTTTAATCTGATATTGCTAAAGTATGCATGCTGGGAGATAGGGGAACAGGTATGAAGCTTTTTCAGGCATGACAAATCCCTCCTACAAAACATATTTACGATGGCTTTAAAAGCCAGGTTTTTGTTTGTTGTTTTTTGTTTGTTTTGAGATAGGGTCTCATTCCAGTTGCCCAGGCTGTAGTGCAGTGCCATAATCTCAGCTCACTGCAGCCTTGACCTCCTGGGCTCAGGTGATCCTCCCACCTCAGCCTCCTGAGTAGCTGGGGCTACAGGCATGCACCACCATGCCTGGCTAATTTTTTGCATTTTTAGTAGAGATGGGGTTTTGCCACGTTGCCCGGGCTAGTTTCGAACTCCTGGGCTCAAGCAATCTGCCCGTTTCAGCCTCCCAAAGTGATGGGATTACAGGCGTGAGCCATTGCGCCCTGCCTAAAAGCCAAAGTTTTAGAACCTTCATTTCTTAGATAAATGAGGATGAAACAAATCTATTCCTTAGCGAAGGTACAGGGTGGGGGAGTGGAAGGCGTGGGGGAGACAGGCCCAATGTGAGTAACATCTACATCCCTTGCATGTTCACTTTTACACCAGGCATAGCCTCACTTTAGAGATAGGCACCAAAATTACTAGCCAGAAAAACCTTTTCAAAACTGCACAACAGAGTCTCTCTTTGCATAATATGATGTATGCACCACAGATAATGGAAAAAAATCACCAACACAGGCCCTCTGATTAGTGTTACAAATGGGGTACCCTGGGAGCCTATCCTTGTCTGCTCTTGAGATTAAATGCTGTTTGGGGTCAAGCATGGTGGCTCACGCCTATAATCCCAGCACTTTGGGAGGCCAAGGTGGGTGGATCACCTGAGGTCAGGAGTTCAAGACCAGCCTGGCCAACATGGCGAAATCCCGTCTCTATTAAAAATACAAAAAAAAAATAGCCGAGCGTGGTGGTGCATGCCTGTAATTCCAACTACTGAAGAGGCTGAGGCTGGAGAATCGCTTGAACCCAGGAGGCGGAGGTTGCAGTGAGCCAAGATCTCACCACTGCACTCCAGCCTGGGTGACAGAGCGAGATTCCATCTTAAATAAATAAATAAACAAATAAATAAAATGCTGTTTTGAAGTACAACACTCATCACATGTCTCTCTGTCCTCGACGATGTATTTTCCTTTCACCTTCCTCTTTGATCAGTTTGTTTTCAGGTACTAAAGTTAATAGAGCTTTCTGGAGAGGATTTCACAGTTGGTGGTGGAGAAGGCTTAGCTACTTTAAATAACAACGAGATTATTTTGTAAAGCTGTTTGGAAAGGGTACAAAGGCACTTATTAAGGTGTTCATTATAAACCCCTTGAAAAGCAGCAAAACTGCAAGGGCTGTTGGTTTTCAGTTGAGATGTCAGTGGTCACCCTGGATTTTGTTTAAACAAAAAATCATTTGAGTATCGTAGGCTCTGGACTTTGCTTTTGAACTAGATAAACTTTGTGCCATCCTGCAGAAAAACAGCCACATTATTATTTAACATATGTTGCCCTCTAGCAGACACCTCAGTATTGCAAGCATTTTATTCAGAAATTGTTTCTACTTACCAGCTCTCTGGCAAGTTCACGGAAAGGCTAGATTTTCTCAGCAACTAAGAGTAAGGATATGCAATATTTCAAAAAGTATATTTTCCTCTGGGGAGTCTTTTTCCAAAGTAAGATACGGTGTGATATATATTCTAATTCTTTTTCTTTCTTTCTTTTCTTTTTTTTTTTTTTAAGACATAAAGCCCCAATGTTGATTTCTGCGACACAAAGCCCCCAGTGTTGATTTCTGCAGGGACTAGAAGAAACATAGAAAATTGAAACGAACCTACAAAGAATTTGGAAATCACTTATGGCCGTAAGATCGATGCCCAGGCAGAATCCACAACACGGGAAGTTAGGAAATGAAAGGTAGTGAGGTTTCTAAGTCAATAGGGATTTCCTGAGCACCAGTTTTGCACCGCTTTGTTAAGTTTTGTGGGGCATTGGCTTGCAAACTGTTTGTCAGGTTGTGATTAGACACCTTGGGGACTGTTCCTCACCATCTCCATGCAGCCCTTTTGCCAGCCAAACTGAGCTTTCATGCCAGTCAGAAATGGTGTTTCCCTCTGAGCTCCTGTGCCACTTTGCCACCCTTGGGATGCCTGCCACATGACACCATGCACCACAGTTCTACGTGTACATGTCCCATCTTCCCATCTCTAAGGTTCCCAGAGACTTACTTGCTGAACTGCCATAGTGCAGCCAGATCTGATTCGGATCCAGGCTTCGCCACTTAACCTGTCTTTGCACCTTAGTTTTCTCGTCTGCAAAATGGGAAAATGCCCATCTTCATGACTATGTGGAAGATTAGAGAAGGGCCCACTCATATTGGGCATCCAGTAGATGGTGGGTATTACTGACAAAAGGGGACTTCTGTCAATACTAACACGTACGTGTCCATGGTGCTGATGAGCAAAGCTGAAACTGGATCCTTGTTACTGCTTCCTAATTTACTTAAAGAGGAACAAGTTGCAGGTATTTATTTTCACGTGGTAAAGCCTGTTTGTTTTGCTTAGCAATACATTTTCCTAGAGAAAAAAAGAATTTGATTAAGCAGATTTTCTTTTCCTATTTTTCAAAACAAGTACTATATTTTGTTAGTGCCTGAGTCTGCCAATTCTCATTGGCCTGGTATCCTCCTATGATTATGCTTAGGCACCTATCGCTGGACACCTAAGGGTTTACAAGACATGAACTGGTAAGTAGGAGACAAATGCATCCTGGGGGGCCGTTATTAGAGTTTCAGTGGTTATGGCACGTTGCTGCTGATGGATATACTAAAGGGCCTGATGTAATCCTTGGTCTATCAGCTTATACAGTAGAGCTCATCTAGGAAGATGTGCAGCGGAAAACCTGCCTACTCCTCCCTCTTGGCTGGTCTGGGGCCCCAAGTGTTTTATACAAAGGCTGGACTTGGCTGTGATCTACACAGAATTGAAGAGCAGATGGGCTCATATAAAGGAGCTGAGCCAAGGGAGATTAAGCAGCTCTGTTCTCTAGAACTCACTGCCACCACCAGGAGAAGGCTGCGGGGTTTGCCAGGGCAGGGCTGGACAGATACTGCAGACAATTGGGATCTTAGGATGTGGGGCTTGGAGAGATCACCAATGGATGTTTGCTAGAAGTTGAAGAATAGTGGGAATCATAGGCCCTGGGTATGCAAGAGTGGTGAGATTCGACCCTACTGGGCATGTCTTCTAGGGAAATTTCAAATATTCCTGGGGGAGGTCCAAGGGAATGCTGCAGGTCTTAAGTCGCAGCAGCAGCCAGGATGCTCTCCCCTTGATTTGGGCATTGGCCCAGTTTCAAATGAGCTCTCATGAAGACTCCACATGGCAACCGTACTATGCTGGCATTCAACCGGGAGGGGATACATGGGTCATTGTATTTACACTGCACTTTTACAAATGAGCAAGATTTGTTTTCACCTACGCATAACAATCATTTCTTTCATCTACCTCTTATGAAGACATTGTATCAGGCTCGATGCCATGCCCTTCATACTTTTAAATTCATATCCATGTTCAATTAGTATAATTACAAAAATAAATTTAAAACTAATTACTGTCGCATATAATTATATATCTCACAACTCAGCATTTGCAGATAAAGGAAGCCATAGCTGTTATGACAATAGTTCCTAATAGCCTGGAACTGTGAATTAATTGCAGTTTAAGATGGCACCACAATGTAAATAGTGACATCGTTATTATTGCAAGATCACTGCACCATGAGGAAGAATAGGTTGCAGTGAAATTGTGGGAGAAGGCTCACTAGTTTCCATCAATATGTAACCAAATGGTGAGGAGATGGGCAAGAGTATGACATGA